GGCGGGAATAACTGTGTTGTTGCAAGGTAGAGCTGTGGATATCATCCGTGCATATGATATGGTATGATATGGCAACGTTTGCCTTCTCATATGATCGATTTCTTCTCTGCATGGTTTATAACTCATTGAACCGTAATTTTTTTTTCTTTATTTGAATTGAATGTTTTTCCCTTTTCTATAGATAAATGAAACGAAGGAAGTCTATAAGCAAGAGAGGGACAATGTAGATGATTGCTTCGGCAAAATCTTCAAACATTCTGAAAAAATGGCAAATCACGTTGGGGTAGAGCCAGCAATGCCACGTATAGCAAAAACCCAAAGACACAGAAGCAACATTCCCTCAGAGACGCCGCAGGAATACTACAAAAGGAATATTGCCATTCCCTTCCTTGATCATATAGTAAGTCACTTGGACAAACAGTTTTCTGGTAAGTATACTAARTCAATTGTAACACTCAACTAGTAAAAATTGAACTATAAAATTRAAATCGCAGCAGCAGATCAAGTTGGACTAGCATTTTGTTTAATACCGTCTCAGATATGAGCATCACTGYTGCTTCCTTGCTTGGACTGGTGCCATCAKTTATCTGCRAAAGAGAAGTTGACTTGAAAGATGTGACTAATGTTTACAGTAATGACATGCCATCGCCTGAAGTATTCGACCAAGAGCTTAAACGTTGGAAGTTACGGTAAGCAAAACGAAGTTGCAACAAAAGCAAGAAATTACTGTCATGTTTCAATTCTGTCTTTCCTTGTTTTGCAGATATAAAGACAAAACTCCAGACAAGCGACCATCATCCCTAGCACAGTCTCTGAAAGAATGCGATAAAGCTCTTTTTCCAAATATCCACGTTCTACTTCAAATTGCCTGTACGATCCCAGCAACATCTTGTGAATCGGAAAGATCCGCAAGTACAATGAGGCGGCTCAACAATTACTTGCGATCGTCAATGCACMAATCAAGATTGTCTAACCTTGCTGTTTTACATTCCCATTATGATCGAGCCTCATCCATTAACGTAGAGGAAGCGATCACCATTTATGCGAGAAAGCATACTCGTCGATTGGAGCTTTCTACTTTACTGTAAAAACATAGGTTCAAAGGTTCATTTGTTTGATGTTAAAGATTCCATACTGAATTTATATTAAAAAGATGATATAAAGAGTCTTTATATTAGTTTTAGTTCCGTTTTTACTTGAAGTGCCCCCCCTCAAAAAATCTTCTGGTTACGGCCCTGTTTTATACTACCGTAACATAGGTCAGTTAGCGGGCATAAGTCCCAAGACGATATGCGGATCTGCGAGACATTCAGGGCATTTACAGATGATATTCCATGGTCCAATGAAGCAGTAGTGCTTACTCGACATAATCATTATGTTTAAAAGCTTCTAGTACGAATATAATTGAAGATATTTCTTGATGAAATCAGTGTTTTTTTGGTGTGTTTGTATGGCGTGTTTGGGTTCAATGTCTGAGTCCATAGGGGGTCGTATATTAATGTATCTATTTTTAGTATACCGATGTAATTTTTTTTGTGTCTTGGACWGGGTAATATTTTCATAAGAAATACCGTAGAAATAGTAGAAATACTGTTTCACTGTACCAGGATTAACGTGTTATCAAAAACTAATTCTTATCGTCGTCTTTGATGGATGTCAGTATAATTGCAGTTTTTATGGTTGCGGCGTAGATAGCAATTCCTTACTTTTCCGATTTGTCTTGAACCTTGAACAGGGTATTTATTTTCACTTTCTAGTGTCTTATTAAACAGGGTTAGCGTTTTTATACCACTCATGGCGGCACGTACCTATCCACGGGATTGTCCTTGACAAAAGCGAACATGTTGGCTTTTCCTTGACAAGGAAAAAAAATTGTCCATTTTTACCACATTTACACGAGCAATTTTTCCTCGTCAAGGAAAAATTGCTCGGACGTGTAATTAGCGTACAGACAATAGAAAAGCGATTTCAATTTGTTAAATCGAACGACTGGGGTTCCTGTTTATATGTCCACGTAATCCGATCCTATTCTATAATTTTTGACCAATCAAATACGTGCATTTTCGCGCCAAGTTCAACCGTTAGTTATCTGATKCTGTAGCGTCCGTTGAGCTCTCTCGTCAGATAGATTTCTATAGTACTTGAATCTTTGAGATTCATTCAAAACTTTCCTCAGCCATGAGCTGGGCAAAGGACGAATGGAAACAGGGTTTAAGCGTTCATGTTCTGGAGAAGATTACTGAGTTAGAGAGACAAACCGAACGGTTTGTAAAAGACAACAAACAGAAGCAGTTTCAGATCGAGACACAAACTGCTGCTTTAGCAAAGCAGAAACGATTGACAGATGAAGAAAAAGACAAAGCTGCCACTCTGAAAAGAGAAAATCAAATTCTTTCTGAAAGTTGTGCTGAGTTTGAAAGAACCAAGCAAAAGCTGCAGCATGAAATTCAATCTAAAGAAGGAAGACTGAGTTGTTTTGAAGGGCAAGTTAGTCGACTCAAGCAAAGTCTCGACAATGAAATCTGTAAACATTCTCAAACAAAAGCTGATCTGGAGAGAGCACACAGCAGTCATGAACAATGTTCAAGGAACCTCGAAAAGAAAACTGCCGAGTTTGACAAGCTAAAAGAACTCAGCTCATTTCAGAAACGACAAATTGAAGGTGAGACATACACGGTAACTTAACTATAATTATGAAAATGCTTGATCACCGAACAAAACATTGTTGAGAGATCTAGCATTTTATCGTTTGGCCACAGAGAAATATTTGAAGTTGACTGTCGCTAAAGGACTTTCAATACGTTGGGCCCCATCAAAACATATTGTTTCGATCGGTCAACATCTTTGATATTCTTGAGAAAGGCTTATAGGTACATACATGTATAAATACAGGGAACCTTCGTTTATTATTAGTGGCAGGGGGTGTATGTGTGTTTTTTCTTAATTTTGGTAAAACTTGCTAGTCCTTAATATTGAAAGAACTAGGAAAACAAAACAAGAAATAATAAAAAAATGACAATTTTTTTTACAAAATTGCAATGTATGAGTGTCTAGTAAAGATCAGGGTACCTGACTTTTTTGCATCAAATTCATTTGATAGTTTTGCTGACTCCATAGTGGACAATATTCAGTATTCAGTATTCAATACACATATGATTACCACACTCTCAAATAAAACAAATATGCTCCATGGTCCCTTCAGAGCACTTGTGTAAGTCCTGATTAAATATGTCTGGAAGGGAGGCATTTTACATGAGTGATCACCTCATGCTATCAGCTACAGTGATAATCATTAAACAAAGATCACAGTAGTGAAGGAAACAACAACCAGGATGTGAAAACKTCTGTTCCTCTTCCTTCACTTGCTTCTCCTTCTGTCTCTACTTTAAAAAGTTTTCGTTTGGCACAAGTCACATACTTTACTGTAGATTGAATTGATACCAAAAAAGTATTCATTTTCAGTGTTCCAAATTCCCTGGTTTTAGAGGCTTGTCTTTTATTCTTTTGCTTACTACCGTAAATGACCACCTTTTAAATTTCCCGTTTTGTTTCCCATATAAACTCTGTAAAAAAATTCTCGACAGCGACYATCTTTGGGATTGAAATTGCAGACAATTTTCATTGTTTTTCCTCTCCCGTAAACAACCACCCTCAACTAACACAATAAAGGTGTGTGTTTAATTTACTTATAAAGCTTACACAAATTACATTTCTGGTTACTTATAATAGAGTACAAACCATAAAAGCGTACTATTTAGTATCAAATACACTGTAGTGTTAGTTATACCATAGAAAAAAATAGAATTATGGACATTAAAATCAACTTCAAGATTTGCAGAATGGTATGGAAGTGTTCAAGGATTTTGTATACTAAAATACGAATGCATTTTGAGCCTCCTGTGTTGTGATTATCATTGTTTGGGTTTCCTGTGCTAACGTTCTCGTAAGCGACCACTTTTTCCTGATCCCGAGGTGGTCGCTTAGAGAGAGTTAACTGTAGTAAGCAAAAGAGTAAAAGACAAGCCACTGGAACCAGCGGATGTTCCAAAGTACATGTACCAAAGCTCCATATTTAGTCAGCTACAATATAGCAATTTTAACCAGTCATCTCTAGCATTGTTTTGGATAAATGTTATACACATATACATAGAACTTACAAGTTCTTAATCTTGGTCGGTGTTTCTGCATTTATAGTCCACCTGTTGTAATGAATGTTTCAAGGAGATAAATCTTACCCAATACAAATGTTTAAAATTTAGTATGAAACTTTTTATTTAAAAGCATGTTTTCCCTTTATATTGAATGGAAATATACAATGTAGATATATAAGATATAAGGGATTAAAACAAATTGTACGTTACTTATATTTTAAGGTCAAAAGGAAAAAATTAAATCATTTGAGAGCCAGAAGTCCTTTTCAAAATCATCTCAGTCAAGCTGTGATAGTTACGATGATTTTGATAACAAAGATCCTCAAACTAAAATGGATGCTGAAGTTTTCCAAAGGCAAAAATTAGAAAAGCAAGTCAAGGACTTGCAAGACATGTCTTCTGTTATGCCCAAGGTATGTATCTGCATTCACTTTCTGATATACATGTACAACTCATAGAGCRGATTTCGTATGAGTGGGCAACGGACGGTACTTATACGATATTAMTTTTTCCTTCACATTTTCAAAAGAACTAACAGCTAGCCACGTCCAGTCAACGAGTACCTTAAATTTTATGTATGAAAATAGGTTTCAAGTGTTTTCTATAGACTTTCAAAATGCATTGTTATACAGTAGCAGTATTTGTGAGTMGTGGGGAAAGTGTTGCTAACTTGCAAGATTCCTTCCTTTCATCTCCTGCATTTTTAGTAATTTTAYCTCACTTTCGACAGGATGGTGTAGTGCCTTTCACATCACTATGCTTGGACAATAATCAAGAACTACATTTAAATTCTAATGAATTCAAAGAAGCTGCTGATTCAAACCAAAAACTAGCAGAATTAAGGAATACTTTGTACAAGGTTGAGCTACAACTACAAGATGCCAAAAATGAACTAATGAACAAATTTGAAGACCTCAAAGAAAAAGATTTGCAGATTTCCAACTTGAAACAAAATTTGGATGAAACCTATAAGCAAAATGATCGAACTTATGAAGATCTGGTGAAATCTAAAACTGAACTTGACCAAGCCAAATTGCAGATCGAGTCATTTGGTATGTAGCTTGCCTTATTTTTATGTGTAGTATGTACATTGAATACATGTTTTATATGACTTAAAAACTTCACCTACAGCATATTTTGGGAGCTCCATGGTTGTTTGCTCTTGAGTTGATAAAGAGTGGTCTGTTGTGAATTGCAGTTGAAATTTGAATTTGGACTAGTCCCTTGATACTGTAGATTGCAAAATAATATTTTGACGTTTTTATTTAGTGTTAAAGGAATTGATAACCAATATATATGATACGGTAATAGCCTACATGCAACAGCCTGGCTTTTAAGAAACTGTTCTGCTAAAAAGCCCCTCTTCATAAGAAGCTATTCAGGCTATGGCTGAAACTGGTACTCTATGTAAATGACAAAGTGAAATGGCATTGGTAGTCTAATCATTGTTCATGAATTCGTAAAATGAATATTTACCTCACTACAACTAGCAAAATGAGTTTTTGTTGACCAGTTCCTTATTGATTAGCAAAGTACCAGTAGCAAAGTGGTATTTTAGCTCAGAAGGGCTAGGGTTCAAGTCCTATAAGGGTTATTAATTTATAAATAGGGTTTTTCAGTAAAATTCTTTTCTAAGTACTTGATTTTGAGTATCATGTCCTAAAAGTAGTTCTGGAGGTTATGTCTCAGATAATAACTGGATTTCTTCATAATGCTAAGGAGATGTGAGATATAAAGCCCCACAAACCTTTGGGTGCCCTGCCTCCTTATGATTCAAGTACAGGACAGTAGCCACATACTTCAAATTTAATGAAATCCCTGTTCACAAGCTCATAAATTATTTTCTTGGAGTATGAGAACTCAAAGCTAGGGAGGGTTCTGAATTCAGCAGAGGAGAATAACTTAACATAAAAGTATCCAAAATGACCTGCAGAAAAAAGCCAACAATGTCCGGTGTTGTTGTGTGACCCTAAATTTTGCTGTTTGCATAACACCAAAGTGACTTTAGTCCTGTTTATGCTCTACAATAGTCTATTGAAACTCCCGACCCCTGGGCCGGGACTAGCGGGGCACTGAATGGGGACGTGACACATTTGAAGGGCCGTATGTGAGAACAGTGTAAGTGACGATTTAGGGTATTTTTGAAAGTTTTGCAAAATGGAAAAAAACTTCAATCATTTGTTTCTGGTCTAAATARTCATGTTTGCTATTTTTCTAGTTATTTCTAATGATTAACTTAAAACAAAGTGAAAAAAGCCACATTTAGTTATGTACTGTACCCTCCCCTACCCCCCAAACTTTAGCTTAGGCTTAGTTCCAGCCATATGCAAGGGTTAGGGTTCCTATTCTTGGGTTGCAACCCCGGAACTGAAAATTTATCATTCGTTATTATTCGTTATTTTGAAAAACCAAGTAGCAAGTCATAAAGAACATAGTCAAATTATCTAGAATACGAGYTTTTAGTCCTGTAGCTTACTTTTCGATGAAGATATAAGCGAATAAAGATTTGAAAAATTTGGTTAATATGTATGGGAACGCCATCTTGGATGATAACTTTGATCATCCAAGATGGCGTCTGATTTCAACTTAACTTTAAAAAGTGGTTTCCATTGTAAATTTTGGTCAATTATGACTTTATTTCAAAGAAAAATCACCTTAAGTAAGTTCTTACAGAGTTGAAAGAATGATTTATCTGAATTTCGAAGTTTTTATTTACGATCTACGGTAGAATAACTCCGCACAAACTAAAACTTTTGTGTTTCGCCACCAAAGCGTTGAATTCGTATGAAAATGTGCATACACACTATTTAGATGTATATTTAAGATATACTGTAAGAAGAGCTCTTTAGAAAAAATATCTTGGATTTTTCGATATTGTTGCTTGAGTATGACGTCACATGCAACCCACCAATAACCTAAGACAGGGGCTAGGGTTAGACGGGTTACAAATGTAGGTGTTGGGGATAGTGTAGGGTTAAAAGTAGCTAAGTGTTAGGCTCTATTATCCGAGTTTTAAAAGCAAACAATAATCACAGAAAAATTTGAGTTGTATTGAAAGGTGTTTCTTTTTTTATTAAATAGAGGGGCCACATACAGCATAGGGGATTTTAACATTGAATGTGCCCCGACTACCAGGAGAAATTTTAACACTGCTCAAACGTTTCTAAAATTCACTGGTATTTCCCGGGGGACGGGGTTTCGATTGACTAGTGCATTATGGTCATGTCTCCCCTTGCCATCAGACCCCACTATGCCATCTCGCCCTTGACTAAATGGGGGTTAAAGGAAATAGATAGTGATATCAATAYGGGGTGAGATTGCATTGTACTGATATTTATTGGGGGAAAGATGGCAATGGGGCAAGATGACCACTAAATTGTTCCACTAAATTGTTAAACAGTAGTTGTGTAATTTTATTGTTTCCTTTTGTTATCAACTAAAACACATGTATTATAGTACATGTAAAATGGTAAGAAGTGTCAATTGCTTCATTGTATTGTAGCCACAGGATTTTATCCAGGSGTGCTTAGGTACCAAAGCAGTGTCTAAGTGTATGTTACAAAAGTGACATTTAAAGAAAATCTTTTTTTGCAATGCTAATCATCCATCTTATAACAGAAAGAAAATGCAAGCAGCTTAACCAAGAGCTGCAATGTCAACGCCACAACACAGAGGCTATCATTAAGGGACATGAAGACAGAAGTAAAGAAAAGGAGAAACAGCACAGGTATTATGATATGAGTATTACGGTTACCTTGTAAAAACAACTTTAGAATATTGAAAGTACACTAATATGTAATTGTAATCTAATTAGCATGTAGATGTACATTTGCTAAAATACAGCTCATTTCGTCTGATGGCATTATGAGATTAAGATGCCTAATTTGTGCGATATTTCTATACTGCTAAATATGTAGAAAGAAAGATAGCATTGAGAAATGCCAAATAACAAATTTTGGTGTTAATCAGATCATTAGACYCATTGCAGTTAATGGGAATGCATCTCCAACTTGAGGACAGAGCAATTTCTTTTTGTACCCAAGAGAGCAAAAATGTTTTGTTTCGTCCTCCAGAAGAAGCTGCTTTGAYATCAAATGCAAGGGGTCTATGCTGTGTAATTTGCAGCATTTCAGTTTTGGAAAAGACGTCAATAGGGCGGTAAACTAAGCTTCTGGATTTTTCCACATACGTGGAATTCACATACGTTTTTTTTGTAAAATCTAGTATTTCTGAAAAACTGTTCTTTCAGCTTTGATATTATCATTTCCAAATTCTATATTTTTTCTATTCAAAATGTGATCTTTGTTTCTATGCTACAGCATCATGTCAGTGACATTGTTCACATTTAAGCGTCGTAGCTCAATAAAGATGCGTGCATGATCAAGAAATTCAATACGAAGAACGCAATGAAGTGAAATAATGAGGGAAACTAATAAGGCTTGTTTTAAATGCACTGATTATTCAATTGGTAATTCATTTTAGGGAAGAAATGTCATCTCAAATGCAAGCCCTCGCAGCACTTGAAAAACAACATCAAGACGTATTGAATAAAATGAAACAGCAAGAGCAAGCTTCTCAGACTGCACAGAGAGAGCTAGAAAGTAATACAGATCAAAAACTAAGAGAAGTGGAGAAATTAAAGAGGCAGCTGGATGATGCAAAACATGATGGCTCAAACAAAGAAAGTGCAATCAAAGCCAAAGAAACCACTATTAATGAATTAGCCCAGGAAATCAAATCGTTGAAACAAGAGAAAAATGTTTTGTTGACACAAATTGAAGAGGAATCAGCTTCAAAGAAAAAGCTTGAGACTCAACTTCAAGTTTGCAAGTCAGAGATTGAACTTAAGAATGCCATTGTAAATACGACTGAGTCAGAGGCCATTGAAAAGGTTAAAGAAGTAGAAACGGTAAAACAGAAGTTACTTTGTGATTTGGAGAACGCAAAAATCGTCCAGTCAAGAATGGAGCTTGACATAGATAAGCTGCAAAAGAAGATAAACTTTGCAGACCGCTGTATTGAAGAAAAAGAGAACGACCTGAAGGAAGTGAATAGTATGCTACAGCATTCTCAAACGAAATGTGAAAAACTTGGTAAAGAAGCTCACGAGTTGAAACTGAATGTGACAGAAGAAAAAGAAAAAGCATCAAGATTGGAAGCAACATTGAGAGAATTAAAACAAGTCAGCATTTGTAAAGATGTCGATACCACACAAATGGGTGATAAGCTTAAGGATCTTGAAACAAAGTACAATGCTCTGACACGAGAACTTGCGTCAACGAAGCAAGAACTGGAGGAGTCAAGCAAGACTATGTCTAAACTTCAAACAGATAAGCAAAATCTCCAACAATCATTGAATAATAAAGAAATTGAAKTAAAAGCATTGCAGGAAAAGTCGTGTGAAATGGASCTTCAACAGACTTCAGTGAACCAGAGTCAAATCAGTGAACTTGAAAGGCAGTTAATTCTTCAAAAGGAAAGTTGCAAGATTGCAAGTGAGGAATGCAACAAGTTGACAACTGAGTTAAAAAATAGAAAACAAGCCGAAAATGAATTATATGATCAAATTCATACCTCTTCTACTGCTCTTAAGGAAATGCAATTGATTGCTGAAAATGCTAGAATAGAACATGAGCAAGAGAAAATAAACAGCAAAAATAGGATCCTAAAACTTGAGGAAAAAATAACCTTATTGCAGAACGAGAAAGAGCAGGAGAAACAAGAAATGTCAAAGTTGGTCCAACAGAAATGTGAAGAAATTGATGACCTCAATGACAAACTAACAAAAAAAGTAAAAGAAGTCGAAAAATTGAGAGAAGCAGAGATAAATCTGCAAAATGTTCTTACTACCCGCGACCATGACAAAGCAAAGCTGGAAGTGTCATACAAGGAAATTTGCGAGAAGTCGCAGAAAATTGAGCAAGACTTGTTGGCTGAGATTGACAATCTGAAAAGAGAGAGAGAGGTGTTCGAAGGAAAGGAGAAAAACTTGGTAATTTCCAATGATTCTCTGAAGCGTGACATTTTGGCAATGCAAAATGATTACCGAAAAGCATGTCAGTTGTCTGATTCTAAGTCTGCTGAACTGAAAGAGCTTATTGAAAAGTTCGAAGTCTCACAGAAGGAAGCTGAACAATTTCGACAGAGAATGTCTCGTGCAGAAAAGACGCTCACAGAACGTGAAGAACAAATAAAAGATGTCTTAAAAGAAAAAGATTGTATTTTGAAAGAGCATGCTACAAAGGAAGAGGATGTTGCTGATCTGAGAAAGCAATTACTTCAAAAGTCGGCAGAGGAACAGTCCAAAAGAGAAGTCTTGCAGGAAAAGTGTAGTCTGTTGTCAGAAAAATTGAATCTAGCACTTGCGCAGAATGAAAATGAAAAGCAGAACAATCAACGCCTTGCTGAATCTTTGGAGGGAAAGATCCAAGAGGTCTCAGAGTTGACATCTTTGAAGTCAAGTTTAGAGAGCAAACTTGATAATACTATAAGGATTGTACATGATAAAGAATCCTTGATTGCGCAACAAAAGAAACAGCTGAATGATATGGAAGTCCGGTTTCAGTCCACAATAGCATGTCTGGAAACTGATTTACAAACCAAAAAGGATGGAGAGAGGATAATTCAAAATAAGCTCCARAAGCAAGAGCAAGCCATCAAAATGTTAGAAAATCATTTGAAAGAAGCACAAGATGRCATCCAAAATAAAGATGCTGAATTAGCGGTAGAGCACACTGAATACGAAAAGTTAAAAACCTCTTACCAAGAGGCAAAAAAAAGTGAAAGCGAACTTTCAGAACAGATTCAAAATATAAAAAGTGCAGCAAATGCCAAAACAAAGGAACTTGAATCAGTAAAAGAAGAGCTTCACAAGCAGCAAATGGCATACAAAGTTGACTTCGACGGTAATCTGGCCAAAGAAAGTGAATTGAATGACAAAATATATAAACTGAATGTTGAACTGGAAAAAACTGAATCTTGTTTAAACGCCAAAGCTGAAGAGCTCCACAATGTTAAAGAGAGTAATGCGACTTTAGAGAATGAATGTCGTGAACTTAGATCCATGATGGATGAGTCAGCAGAATTGGCTATGAATTTGCAGGATGAAATGGCAAAAATGAAAGAGGAAAATCAGCGTCTCGCTTCAAACATAGAAGGAAAGCATCACGAAATCACTAAGCTCAAAGAGACACTTGCTACAACTGAAATGGAGCAAATAAATATATTGCAACAAAAAGAAGATCTTCTGAAGTCAACTACCAATTCTCTCAACACTGCTATGTCTGACAAAGAAAAGCTGTTACATCTTTTAGAGACACGAAAGCAAGAATCCATCAAAGTAAACCAAATGTACGAACAGGACGTCAAGGAAAAAGAGTGTCTTATGCAACAACTGAATGTTTTACAAAAAAGCTTAAATGACAAATCCAAAGATATTGAATGTTTGTCAGAGCAGAAAGTTCATCTTGAAAGTATGATCTCCAAATTGAATTCACAAAATGAGTCATGTTTAAAGGATGAAATCGGTTTACAAGACAAGCTAGATATACAGACTACCTTGTCAAATGAAAAGCTGCAACTTCTTGAGGATAAACTTAAGACCCTTTCGTCAGTAAACGAGAAGTTAGAAGACAAGTTACGCCACACAGAAGAACAGCTACGGAACACAAAGGAGATTAACGTGCAGCTGGAACAGGATATCAACAGTTCGAATGCAAAAATCGATGTTTTTCAGAGAGAATTCGAAAAAAAAGATGGCGATATCTCTTCTTTAAGACAGCAGATATGTAATTTTAAGCTGGTTGTTTCAGAGCTAAACACGCATTTACAAGAAAAGAATAACTCAATCCAGAGTGCCAACCAAGATCTTGATGCTCTCAGGTCCCAGTTTGAAGTGACACAGATGGATATAGAAGATAAAGAAGACGTCATTAAAGAACTGAAAAACACTATTGAAGCACTAGAGTCACAGATAAAAGACTTGAAAGTAGCGCGCTGTGGCCTTGACGAAAATTTAAAGCAAGCTAAAAGCGCTCTTGAAATCAAAACAAATTCTCTTCTTGAAAAAAGGAAAGTGCACGAGGTCATGGCTGCTGAGATGAACTYAAAGCATCTCAAATCAGACGAACTAATACAAAACCTCCAGAGAACAGTTAAAGACCTCAAAGATGAAAAATGTGAGATCGTGAGCAAGCTGAAAGAAAGTGAAGCCATTTGTGTAACCTTACAGTACAAAATCAGTAATTTGGAAAAGCATGTTGAAGAACAAAGTCAGGACAAAGTATCTATGCAAACTGGCTTCGACATATCTGTTGGGAAATTAAAGGAATCTATAGAAACTCTTGAAAAACAGGTTGAGAATCTTAAGAAGGAGCTACTCGTTTCAGAAGAAGTTATCAACAGCAAGAACGATGAACTCAATGCAATAAAGATCGTCATTGGAACAGAAAGGCRAAACCTTTTAAGTAGCAAGCACGTTTTTATAGTGGAAAACCAATCCTTAAAAGAGGAAAGTGAAGCTGTTAAAAAGAGGTTAGAGGTCAGTGAGCAATCTCTTGCTGATGTTAAAAGTGAACTGGCAAGTACATTAGAGAGTAAAAGCCTAGCAGAAAGCATGCTTGTTGCTGTTGATGGTAATTTACAGGATCACAAGCAACGCCTTATTGATAGAGAAAATCAGATTAAAGTCCTGGACCACGCCTTGGCTGAAAAAGAGGATCAGCTAGCCAAAATGAGATCAGTGTCATCTGCTCAGTCTGAACGGCTTGAACAACTGCAAAAGTGTTTACATGAACTGAATGTAAAGAAGRAGAATCAGAGCCAGGAAATGTCACAAAAGATCGAAGATATTGAAAATAGTAGAAATGAAGAAGTGAAAGCTCTTCACTGTGAGTACAAGGTCCAAATTGAAGAACTGCAGGATCAGTACAAATTGTCGCTGGAGCATGCACAGCAATCTAACATCAAGATAAAGGAACTAAGAGACGCTTTTGATACGAGTAGACAAGAGATTGTCGAACTGAATCAACGTCTTGTTTCTGATGAAGCCGAGTTGAAGGCAAAAGCACAGGAAATAGATGCATTTCGTAACAAACATAGCAACCTTATATCTGCACAAGAAAATGTTCAAAATGACTTAAATGTCACTATTGAACGTTTAAAGAATAACCTGTCCATAAAAGAAGATGATTGTGCAAGACTGCAAGAAAAAATGCATGAACTAGAGGAAGTAAATGACAGCAAAATTAGAGAATACCTATCTCAACTATCATCTGCCAAAAATGAAAACATTTCGCTTCAGTCAAAACTTGATTCCATGTCATCAAAATTTGAAATCTTGGAAGATGATCTTCAAAGAAGTAAGCATGATATTATTCGTCTAAACAATAATATCGAAGAAAGTGAAGAAAGGTTTCGTACTGAGGCCCTTACCTTGAAAGAGAATATAAAAGAAATAGAAAGCAGTAAAAATGAACTCAAACAGAAAAGTCGAGAAGAAMTGATTGAGCTTCAGAGCAGTTTCAAAAGTACGAAAGAGGATCTCACTGGAAACATAAGAATGTTAGAAGAGCAAAATAAAAGTCTAAATGAAGAAAGAGATGGGCTTAAAGACCAGRTTATTCAGCTGCAACATTCCAAAGAAAAGTCTGCTAAGAGAGACAATGAAAAGATAATTGAATTGAAATCACAACTAGATGAGACAAATCATAAGCTCAAAACATCCTATCACAGAATAGATGAACTTGTAGAAGAGAAGCGGATCTCTTACGATGCTATGCAGGTGGCTGAGAGGGAGACATTCCAAGCTCGGTCAGAACTTGAGCATGAACTCACAACATTTAAGGCCAAATTGACAAGTATCACAAGTGAAGCAGAAAACTACAGACAGCAACTTAAAGACGCACAGGAAAAGAATTCTACTCTTGAGAAGAATCTCAGCGAATTGAAGTCCAAAACGTTAATGCTTGAAAGAAGCTTTAAGGATTCAGCAATAAAGTATGAAGATGAAATAAATGAGCTTCGTAATTCTCTTGAATCCACTACTRCAGAGTTGACCAAAGTGACACTGGAAAAGGAAGGTGTGTCCAATTCATTACAGCATACCAAATGTGATTTGGAACAAGCTCTAGAGAGTTTAGCGAGATTTGAATGTGAGCGGAACAACGATACTGCACGAGAATGTCAAAACAAGGATTTAAGTTCTGCTGTAGAAACATTGCAAGAGGAATTGAATTTAGCAAAGTTGGCAAAAGCCGAACTTAACCATGAGCTTATCAATGAAAAGGACACAATTTGCACTTTGCAAAGAAAGATTGAAATGCTTGAATGTGACATTGGTACAATGAAATCAAAACACGCGACAGAATCTTCAGAACTTGAAATGTGCTTGGAAAACTTGAAAAAGCGGAATTCAGAACTCTCGGAAAAGCTAGCTGAGGTTTCTGAGAAGCACCTACTTGAATGTGAGTCAAGTATTCAGTCCATTAGAGAAGCCAGCATAGAAAAATCTTCTCTTTCTAAACAGCTAGAAGAAAAAGCATTGCGCTGTAAACACCTTGAAGACTCAAATGACGAACTATTAGAAGTAAATGAAAAACTTTGTGGCAAAATTGAAAAACTAGAAAGCGTCATTGAACAGAAAAAGAACGACCTTACAAGTCTTCGTGATGCGTCTAACAGTATTAATCGAGATTATGAAGATGCAGTGCAGGAACTCCAAAACGTGCGACAAGAATCAGCTGAAATTATTGAGATAAAAAAGAATAAGGTAAGCACAAGTAAAATAAGATATAATGAAAATTATTAGTCGTATCTCTCGTAGCTACATGTGTCGRCATTCAAGGTAGCATATATCATGATCAAAAACAAATGTCTCGTGTAGAGCTTTATCGGGATATAAAGGCCAATTATTTCATACTTGATTCAGTTTTCTTTGTTATTCATAGTGTTGTATCTTGCTTATTCCCCAGCTCGTTGTGTATTCAAGTGCTTTATATCGAAGTTTCAGGGATATATCTAGATATCGCCCCCATTTGAGGGCAATATCTATATATTGCCCTT